AGTCCATATCACCCTCAAAGTAATTCACTGCAGAAAGAGGTAAACATCCGATTGCGCTTGCATTATTTTTGGCTAACAATTGTAAGACTATGAACCTCAACTGCAGATCTATATGGAATCTAAAAAAATACGTGTGGCTCTAGAATCTGAAATGATTAAATGGATTCATATAAAACAAAGTTGCCTTAACAATGTAAGTCCTACAATATTATGCAATTAACCTTAGTGATAGTTATTCTTGAGAAAGAGATGTCTTTATTTATATTTTTCATAATAATGCAATCTAACATAACTTATTTTATATAACATAAGCATACATTATATGAATTTGTTATTTATTCTCCTACTTCCTCCTGATCGGAGGACTCTTTTTTTGGTACAATCCTATGAAACATGGCAGCATGAAAGTCTAGATAGAATTTCAAGGAAGGATGACTTGTTCAGAAAGGAGGAGTGTGGATAACAGGTGATGGACAGTGCCCAGGGGAAATCTAGGAAGAAGGAAGTACGGCATAGGGCAGAGGAAGAAAGAAATCCATGTGCTGGCACTTCCAGAAGAAACACTGAGGGAGAAGGTGCATTGAAATCTCATTTGTTTAGGTAAGTTGAATGTTAGCTGTGAAAACTCTCTGATATTCCTCTAGATCTTTGGAAAATTCTACCAAATCAGATAATTCAATCTTGACTGGTTAGATTTCCTATGAAAAATGCTGATGATGTTGAAGGTCATTTAATGATTGATGAAGAAAATCAGCATGCATAGTCCAGAGGATGGCTTGGTTTAACATATTCTTAATAAAAGTGGCATGAATTAGGAGGAACACACACACACACACACACACACACACACACACATTCCCTTTGTGTGCACTGAGTTTGCCCAGAAATAAAACAAATTCCAGAAGCACTAGAGGAAGTGGTTGGCTGTCAACACTTACTGCGAGGATAATCTGGAGGGAACTATGAGCCACTTCTATGTACTGGTACTCCAGAAAACACCCTGAGACCGTGATGTAGCGATGGTCTTCTGGGGCCCAGTCTGGGGCGGGTGTCACTGACGTCACCATACATCCTGGTCCATTCTCCATCCACCAAGATCGGTGCATTGAAATATTAAAAGTCAGGATAAGGTCTGTTTCCTGCAAGAAGGCAATTTATAARGATGAGAATTACTTCATAAATGTCAGCTTATTTGGGACTGAATTGTTTTCTATTTGCGCATTAATTGTAATACTGAAATGTCTTAACCATTTGGGACTCGTGAATATTAAAAAGGGAATGATTTAAACTATCATCAGGTGAAAGTCTTATATTATAAATCTGCTGTATATTTTTTCCTTGTCAGAATATTTACTTATCATACATTTTATATCTCAAAGTTGTATTTCAATGTGGCAGCATTTCACTTGTAGCTAATGCTCATATTTATAAAATCTTTATGTAGTAAAAGACAATATAGCTTATTTTCCTTCTTTTTATTCTAGTTGTCCCTCTGTATTCATAGGGAATTGGTTTCAGGACCCTCAATCCCTGAAGATACCAAAATMCAAGGATGCTCAAATTCCTTTATATAAAATGTCAGTTGGTTGAGTCTGGATGCAGAATCTGTGGATATAGAGGCAGACTGTGTTTTGGCAAATCAGTGTCTCTTCAATCTCATCAACTTCTGTGAATTCAGTCATAGTATTTTTTTTTTTCATGGAATATCATTAGCAAATTCTTGCAGGGTGGAGATAATACATCAATAACTCTTTAGATGAATTTCACTATGTAGGTGATTCACAGCTACAACTAGAATAAAAGGTACAGTTTCTGAACTCAGAGAGCTTATAGTCACATACACCAAGAAACTATCAATAGAATATGGAAAAATGTCATATTCTGGGAAGATAATGGTTAAAAGGAAACATGTTCTATTACTCTGCAAGTTATGATTTTTATTCACAAATCCTAAGAGTGAGCCAATGGTGGAACTTGAACTCTTTTAGCCTCAATGACAGTTGAGGYCACATGATAATAGGAGCCAACTACTCTCACTCAAAACTGAGAGTGAAGCGCTAGTGTGACTAGGTAGACTCTAGATAGAAAAATGTCTTAAATCATGATTAGTGACCTAGAGACTCTTACTGACATTGAGAATATGTAAAGGTTGAGCTGGAATGGCCAAGGAACTTGGAGACTATAAGGAGGACTCTGTTTGAGGTGCTAAGTGTCACCAATTTTACAGTGGTGACTGGGGGAGAGAGGGGATATTTTTGCTTCTTTTTGAGACCATTGAGAAAGGCTTTAAGCATCCCTTGGAACCTGGGAGAAACAGCAACTAGTATCTGATTCAGGTTTAATAAGTCTCAAAATAAAGTCTGGTGTTGGAGCTACCTGCTTAGTGGCCAAACAAAAAGTAGGCAATGTTTGGAAGCAAACTGAATTGCTACATTTGATGGTTCTAAGAGCAGAAGTGGGCCATCAAAATAGAGAGCTAAATGGCCTTTTTATTAGTGCTTTCCCAGAAGAACTATTGGTGGGGGATAATGGCTGAGAGTACTGACACACATTCCCATGGTCTGAGGGAAGAATACAGTGAACAGAGAATACAGTGAACAGAGAAGATACACCCACTAAGTCATACATACAGGAGAAATTAATGAAGTCAAGTGTCTCTGGGAAAAAAAAAAAAAAAAAAAAAACAGAAAAAAACCCAGGGGCCATTACTAAAGTAAAACACTGAGCCCACAACTTTTCCATGTAGAAAGGGAAAAGCTTAATTTTGAAAAAAATTTGGACTTTTTATTCAGAAGGACATAATCCTTTCTGAACAGAAACTATTTGGGGAACAATAGTGACAACAGATAGCTTTTACTATTTGAGGGTCACCACAGGAATAGGTATGCTGTTTATTTTTTTCCAGGGGCAGAAAAACTAGGTCCATAGGTAGATTTGCAGGGGCAATTATGAGAACAGACCAATGCTTTCTCTTTTTTTCTTACAATCTTAGCCATTTAATGTTTTGCTACCCAAAAACTGGACATGACACTGAAGCGCTTTAGAGTGCTTGATCTTCAGCATGTACTTCTCCTGAGTGGCGTAAGTTCAAGGAGGCAGGACTATGACCATTGCTTTCAGTAATCTGAAATACCAAGTTGGTATTTTCCTTACTTCTGTTGATGAGGTTATAGAGGCCTCTATAGAGAATCATTATCACCTGAAGTCCACAGTTCACATTAGTGTTTGCTCTTTGTAATATACATTCTGTGGGTTTTGGCAAATATATGACATGTGCCCACATTATCATATCATTCAGAATCATTTCACTGCCTTAAAAATCCTTCTGTGCTCTACRTATTCATTCCTTTCACCTCCAAAACAYTGGCTACCATGTTCCTCTGGCTGTCATCACAGTTTTTCTTTCCCAGAATTCCATGTAGTTGGAATGACACAGTGTGTAGGCTTTTTAGATTGACTTCTTTTAAGTTCCTTTAGTGTCTTTTCATTCTCAATAGCTTGTTTTTAGCACTAAATAGTATTCCTTTGTCTGGCTAAATCAGTCTTTGACCCATTCACCTACCCAAGGACAACTTGGTTGTGTCCAAGTTTGGGCAATGACAAAAAAAGCTGTTATAAAYATCCATGTGCAGGTTTTGTGTGGACATAAGTTTTCAATTCATTTGGGTRTATAATGAGGATTACAATGTCTGGATTGTATGTAAGGGTATGTATAGTTCTATAAGAAACTCCCAAACTCTCTCCCTATTGGTTATGCCATTTTGCATTTCCACCAGTAGTGAGTAGGGATTCCTGTGACTTGGCATCCTTGACAGAATTTGGTGGTGTCATGTTCTGGATTTTGGCCATTGTAATAGGTGCATGGTGATAGTTCATTGTTGTCTAACTCACATTTCCTCGGTGATATTGACATTGAGCCTCCTTTCCCATATTTACATGCCATGTGCATGTATTGGTGAGGTGTCTGTTAAGGTGTTTGACACACTTATTATCCAGTAGTTTGCTACTTATTATTGAGCTGTATAGGCTCTYGGTATATTTTGAATAATAGTCCTTTATCAGTTAAGACTCTCACAAATATTTTCAACTGTCTATGGCTTGACTTAAATATRTTTTAAAAGCAATAGGAATTCCTGAGCTTTATCTACTCCAAGCATAATCAATAGGTTATTTAATTCCTGTATATTTTGTAAATTTTGAGCTCAAAATCATAACTTTTGATATAATGAACATGACCTGAGAGCACAAAATACATCAAAATCACAACTAATCTTTTATATTCTTGGTGGATTCACACACACACACACACAAAAAAAAAACTTAAAAGAAAATCAGCTCAGAATTGTAAGATACTAAAACTTTTAAATTTAAAGAACAGTATAATAATTATATATTCAGATCCGTATAGTGACAAAAAAATCTTTGTATCAATATATTTATTTATCTCTCTAAGTAGTCTTTAAAAAGTTCAGATTAAAGGACCCCATTATTGGTCATGTCATTTTCAAAATAACAGGGTCTGATGTGTTACATGAAAGCTATGATTAGCGCTAAAAATTTGTTTCTGACAGGGCTTGTGTGTATTCAGGTCAATGAAAGAAGCCTAATTGTCCAACAAATAATAAGCATTTGATAAAAAAAGTTGACAAGTAAATGAGAAAATGATACTAGTGACATTTCAGAATTTCAATAGAAAGGGAACATTTACTTTCCCAGTTTCTGGCATTTGAAGAAGAGCACACATGACTATTGCACTAGTAAGCAACAAAGGCTACATTGCTGAGATGAGAAAGTGGAGAGAGTGAGAAGAGAAGTTTTGATTTATAATTTAAAAACATGAAATAATTGTCTTAGATTTCTGGAGTTTTCTATTACCTTCTTTTGGAATAGTATTGAAAATTTATATTTTCCCATTTCTAGACTATTTGATTACTATTAGAAAGGCTTGGAACTGCTTTTAGTACTAAATTGCAATGGTTTATAGTTATCATCATAGTTATTAAACATAGAAATGATTCATAAACCATATGCAAAAAACATTCTACCAGGCCATAATGATGTGAAGTTATGCAAAATGGTATTATCTTGTAGAACATCACATTGTGAGGTTTATTGTCTCTTTTGGGAGATTAGATATAAGCTAAAATGTAACAATATAAGAAAACATTTGGTAAGTACCTAATAAGTGGTAAGTGGACAATCCMTACTATGAATTCAGACTATGGTGCCAGGATACTGTAGTTGGGGTCTGGAGGAATGGCAAGGCTTAGATAGGCTCCTGGGCAATTTTAAGCAGAGATCAAGGATTCAAAATTATAGACCTACAATAACTTGTATGTTTAAGTACTAATAGGTGTTTTTTTAATTGTGAGAGGGGAGTTTCTAAGAGTAAAATAGCTTTGGAAAGATGAGATGGGCTTAGAATGGGGAGGATTTAGAGGCGAGTTCAAAAGGCCATGAGTTTTTAAAAKATTTTTGATCAGTGACAGGCCATGGGCACTATCAAACATGAAACCACAGGTATTACAGTAAAAAAATCACGAAGTCTGGGGTGGACCCTGTAGAAGACACAGGGAGACCCGCACAAATGAAAAGCATGATGCAGGTGATTACAGGGATGCTTTGAATTCTGAGTGTTTGACCTCCACTGCCATGAAACATTGTCTTGGGTAACAAAAGAGTCTCCTGGAAAGGACCAGGACTAAATGGCTTTTTGCACTCCTAGGGTGAAAGTGGGACAGGTCTGTATTCTCACCTTAAAACATCATTCTGGTAATGATATTAAAGGAATCCAAGCACTTGCATTTAATGTAYTGTAGCGTATTTTAACAAATAAGAAATACCCTGGGAGGTTAAAGTGTTTTTATTAATAAAAATATGTACATTTAATCTTTAGGATTGTGAGAAGTAGTTCAGGAAAGCCYATGATGAATACAATTTTTCACTAGCTGAGAATGAAAAAATTGGAATAGAAACAGAGGCTATATTTGAAACCAAGAATCACTTTTTCCCCCATAAACTCTTAAATAAGATATTAAAAGCATCATCAGAAGGATGTGTACTGTATCTCATAGCCAACACCAACATATGGATACTAATTTTAGGAAGTCCTAAAAATTTTCCTTAAAATTATTATTAT